CATTCTTCTATGGTGTTCTCATTTGTGTAAATTTAATATATTGCGACTCAATTTTTATATTCACAGAAAATCCAGAAAAAGCATTTCTTCTAAATAATTTAGTTTCATGGTATAAATTTAAAATTAAGACAACACATTATCATACTTTTACACATCTTTAAATGAGAGGTAAAATCCATATTTTGTTTCCTTAATTACTTTAGGATTCGATCTTGCCTTTTTCAATATTATTCTGTGCAAATAAAGCGCATGGTTTTTTTATGTAAAGGGATTAAGATACTCCATAATTTTACTAGTTCATAAACTATTTGATCTATTTCACCTAGTTGTGAAATTAGTAATTATTTATCCATCTTAATGCTTCTCACAGAACCGTAAGTTATCACTTTAGGAACTGTTAAAAAATTAGATTAGGAAGAATTTGTTTGCCTCTTTCAATTCGTAACTATTAGGGAAACACAAGCTCTTTCCACCTGTATGTCTGATTAGGGAAACACAAGCTCCTTCCAACTGTATGTTTGATTAGTAAGTTCTACTATTATATGCTAGGAAAAATGAAGTAAACTAAATATATATACAAATGATTTTCAGGCATATATAAGGTGGAGACAGGAATTCCTATGTTCACATGCTGATCCATTCATTCAAGACTGTCAATTTCTAATTGAATATAATTTAAAGCTCATGCCTTTGCAGCATTATTTTTTGTTAGATAATACTTCCTGAAGCAAGGCCTTAAAATCAACTAATCTCACTGGATGTGTTTAAAGTTATATGCCACGTAAAATTTTTTTAAAAAACAAATATCTTTAAATACATTAGACTACAACACTATAACTAAGGGCAAATTTTCAAAATAAATCCTATTAGGAATATCTTTAAAAAATGATCCCTTTGAAATTTAATTGCCATTTTCCACCTAGTTTCAGCCACCTGTCTGAAACTAGGTTGTAAATGTCGATTAAAGTTCGAAAACTTCACTAGATTTAAAATCCTGTGAAGTTTAGTGTCTGATTAGTGATGCTAATAAAAAAGCCACCCAAACTTCATGGGATTTTAGCATCGCTGATCAGATACTAAACTTCACAGGATATTAAATCTAGTGAAGTTTTCAAACTTTAATTGCCACTTTCGATCCAGTTTCAACCATGTGGCTAAAACTAGGTCCAAAATGGCAATTAAATCTCAAAGGAGTCATTTTTTAAAAATAAATTCCTAATAGGGTGTACTTTAAAATTTTGTCCTTATAACTAAGGCTAAAGAGTATTATAAACCAGCAGTCAATACCTAATGACATGTCGACAAACTTTTAGATGATAAACAAATGTAGACATCTAAAAGGTGTAAAGTACTCAGTGCAGAAATCTTGCAAATAGTTAGCTTTACAAAGGTTAAAGGCTAAAGACACAAATCATTTGCATGCGCTATAAAAATATGGCAATTCAGCATATAATAAAAATCTGGAATAGTATGTACTCAGCAACAAAGGCACATCAAGGGGTATTAATGGGACACATTTATGACATGTTACGGTAAAAGTCTTAATGCTCTCTCTGTTAGTGATTAGTATTATGATTACACTAACTTGCGTATCTTATATTTTATCGGTTATCTTATTTGAATCCCGACCCGTTGTAACAATACGTTCTCTATAAACATAATTTCTTTTCTAAGTGAAGCATGTGCTTTAGGAATTTAATGATAGGATATGTGAATTCTAATGTTAATTAAAAGTGAAAGAGAACACCTTATTTACTACTAAAAAGGGTTATTGGAAACATCTGATAGCAATACAGCGCTCGTTAATAGAAGAACTAGAAAGGAAGAAGGTTTTATTGCTGAATGTCGATATCTGAATCTAGGATTTACCAGAAACTAATAAAGATTTATTTATTTTATTTGTATTTATATGTTTATTGCATGTATCTAGGACTAATATCCCAAGCAAAACTAATAAAAGATTTATTTGTTTTATTTGTATTTTTATATGTTTTGCATGTATCTAGGACTAATATTCCAATCAATTTATGCATAGTTGGATTTCTACCATTATGATTAGGCTTCATTGACTTTGTTTTGTTGTAAAATATATCATAGTTCAGAACTAAGATATAGTTTTACTTACTTTGAAGTAGATAAAAGTAACTATATGTAGAAACCATAAGTCTTTAATCATAATCTATACTACATATAAAAGAGGTTTGAGGTGTTAAAACTTTTGATTGTCTCTTTTACCCTTCCAAAATTTAATAATTCACAATAATGCCTTCAAATTTATTCAATTCATTCTATTTATTACACTATAATTATTATTAAAATAAACATGAGAACTAATACTAAGAACTAAATATATATTATAATTTTAATCATAAATTTTATCCAATTCATTCTATTTATTACACTGCAATTATTCTTACACTAAACATAAGGACTGATATATTATAAAATTTACTAATATTAGTGTTATGTTAAATAAGATAAATATTTCACTTTAGATATTAGATATTATACAATAAATATACAATTTTAATATATAAGATAATAATATCATAACTTATATTTATAAATTATATCATAAATTCTGATAATTAAATATTTAATTAAGCATCTAACATCTAATCCAATATTATAATATATTGATATGTGCATCTGATGTGTAAAAAATTCATGGAGATGAATACTAATATAAATGTTAACCTCTTGGTGTAGTCAATAAATAGCATATAAATTATCATAATATATAGTACTAACTATTGCAATATACTTATCATAGTATTTGGATATGAGGTAATTCTTAGCATGTGGAATTCCAAGCGGTGTGGGAAGCTATTACATTTGTTCTGGACATTGGATGTGGAAAGATAGTTTTTTAAGAAGATGTGAATGTGATAATTAGAGATATCCATAATAGGTTAGAGCAACACTTGATTTTCAGATACTTTATGGATAATCTTCAGCGATGTTGCACATGAGTTGAGGAGTGAGATTTTTTGATAGTTTGTCAAATGGAGAATATAACGGCTCATGTGTTGGTCCTAAGAGTAAAGAAAATTAATGATTTTGTGGTATTGGTTGAAGACTCACCATCATTTTACACAATGTTTTACAGTCTGATATGGAGAAACGTTAATTCTCTTTCTTTTGCTGTGCTTCTGGGTTTTCAGTTTAGTTTTAATGTATATTAATATTTTTTCATGAAAAAACTATTAATTTAATGCTAGCTAATAAAGCAATTTATGACGTATTCCCTTCTTAACCCACAGATAATGCATTTAATATGAATTTTAGTGAGAAAATAAACCTATAATTAAGGGATTCATGTATGTTCTCTTACTGACTAATCAAATTCTCTTCATTAATTATACACTAACAATTTCTCGACTTATCTACTTTCATAAACATTCCACTTAGACAAGAGTTGCATAAATTTATGCTATATATGGATGCCGAAATGCACAAAACAAAATACTAAAGGAGTCAAAATAAAAAAGGAGGAAGTGAGAATTTTAATAGTGGAGTCAATCCCTCGATTATAGTAACTAGGATACCTTGTATTCAATAACATTTCATAGGCGATAATTAAGAGAGAATATTATATTGCTTTTTTTGAGGAAATGAACAGATCTGCAGCTGGTTTCACCTCTAATTTACGAAAAATATCAATCTATTAGTTGTACAAGTATACAATTTTGTGGAGAGAAAAACTAATATAAATTTTAATAAATTCACGGCGAGCGGGTGGCTGGGGACTCTGTTTGAGTCCTCTTCGTTGTTATAAAAAATAAGTCATGGGAAAATACAATGTGAGATGACCTTCAAATGTTTTAATCTCATATCATTGCTTAATACGTATGAGGTGCAAAGCACGTGTTAAATACTAGTTCTTATAAATCTATATTGGTACTACCTTGATACTGTGATACGTCCATATAATTTTGTTTTATGTTATGGAAATAATAAACTAAGTACCTACATCCCTCCTATTACCGTGAAACATTAGGTGATACGGAAATCTAACTGAAGATACTAATGTGAAATGAAAGACACACACATACATATATACATACATATATACATATCCTTCAAAATAAAGTATAATATTCATCAAGGGGCATTTAAGGTAGGGTATAATGTGGTTTACCTGGAATTGAAATTTCCATAACCTCTACATTGTAATAGTTTTGATACTTAAGGAGAGTCGATATGTGCCCAACCCTAAAAAGTAAGGACAATATTCTACATTGCCACTCCTTTTTTTTTCTTTTTTTTTTCTTTCACTTGGACTTAAGCCTTATAGTAAAATCAATTTTAGATAGCTGCACAAGGAAAATTTTATACTTAAATAGTAAACGATATGCTATTAGTAAATCCTTACGTATTTATGGTGATAGTATATTTTCAGAGAGCTATATAGGAAATAGTAATATTAAAGAAACTAGACTCCACTAATATAATATTTCATATGCACAACAATAACAACAATAATAAAGGTTTTATTTTGATATTTTGATTGTCAAAATAAATCATATTATTCCATTAATGTAAGCATGCTAATGTGCACGCTGCATAGATTGGTGCTCTACCTGAAATAAAATCCTAGATCCGCCCCTCTTGTCTATCAGTAAAACACAATTCTCTATGTTAGTACGTACCCATAGTGTTGACTTTGAAGGTACTTAATATACTCTTAAGCCACTATATGCTGATAATGTTTGAAATAAAGATATTTGAAAAGATATTAGACTGATAGGATTCAAAATCAGTGATCAAGGATGATATGGTTTTCATACATTCACTTCTGATATTTGATTAGAGAGATGCATTGTTTACCTTTTATGTCATCTATTCCTTCATAGGTAGCTATAAACTAAACAATGATTTATTCCCATCCCCACAAATCTGATAAAAAAATTTCGTGCTAGAGGACATATTTTATTTCAATACTTATTGTATTCTTAAAAACTTATATGATATTAACTTTGTTTATTTATTTTTGGTAGAACAAGCAAAACACTTGAGCGATTATTTTTTTTATATATATATATATATATATATATATATATATATATAAAAATGTATTATATTTTCATTTTACTTCAAGGGTGAATCAAATATGATAATGCAATCATGATAGATTTTCTAGCTAAATATAACCACCATAAAAATTTAACTGTATACAGTAATTTTGTATGCATAACCTCTATAATATTATATAAGCTCCTTATTCTTCATATCATGTATCTTGTTTTGCATTTCGGTAATATATAATATTAGATGAAAGTTGCGATCTGTTTGAAATTATGATTTCTCTTTCTTTGTTAATGTCTGTTGAAGTAATCTAAGATTTAACAAAACCTTTGAAAACGTGTTATGAGAACCCACTTTAAATGTAACTGAAAAACATAGGATCTAATCTCACAGTCAGATTGTTTGTTCTTTGTTCCATATATCATATCATATCATACTCCCTTTAAAAGTACGAGTTCCGGAAAAACTTTTCATGGTCAGTATTACCCTAAACTTTTTAAAATATTACATTGTTATCCTAATCTATTCTAATTATCTTATCTTCTTTAAATTAATTAGTAACTAAATGATTTATCATATTTAAAATGAGACTTAACATGTTATTGGATAAAGAAAATGCGTTTGATATAATTCAAATCATTTACTTATTTCACTTCATAGAGAAATCTAAAAAACATATGCTAGCTAGCACCTAAAATTTTTTGGACTTTGTAAAAAAAATCCTTGAAGTTTTTTAAATTATAAAAACACCCCTACAAATTTAAAATTTTATTAAAACATCTTAAAAAATTATAAATTTTACTTATTTCAATTCAATGAGAAATCTAAAAAATATATGCTAGGTAGAAACTAAAAGTTTTTTGACTTTGGAGAAAATATTTTGTAAGTTTAAAAAATTAAAAAATACCCCTAAAATTCAAAATTTATTAAAAAACACCTTTAAATTTTTAAACTTATAAGCACACTAAAAACCTACAAATAACACAAACAACTCCCAAAAATTTATGAAATTTGCAATAAACAATCTGAACTTTTTACAAATTATAAAATAAAACCTTCAGAATTGTAAATTTATAAAAATCTATAAATTTCTAAGCTAATAGTACATTGAAAATATAGGAATTATAAATATCCCCTACATAATTTATATTTAAAGAAAACACCCTGAGAATTTCAAACTTATTAGTAAATTGAAAGCATAGGAATTATAAATAATCTATAAATAATTTACAATATGTAGAAAAAGCTTAAAAGTTTAAAAAATTACAAAAAGCCCCTAAAATTCATAATTTATAAAAAAAACTATGAGAATTTCTAACCTATTAACACAAAAATGAATATACGAAATTACTAACAACCTTAGAAAACTAAAATTTGACAAAAAATATCATACTCACTTTAAAAGTATAGATTTAGGAAAAACCTTTCATGGTCAAAATTATCCATACAAAAATTTATGAAATTTGCAATAAACACTCTGAACTTTTTACAAATTATAAAATAAAACCTTCAGAATTGTAAATTTATAAAAATCTATAAATTTCTAAGCTAATAGTACATTGAAAATATATGAATTATAAATATCCCCTACATAATTTATATTTAAAGAAAACACCCTGAGAATTTCAAACTTATTAGTAAATTGAAAGCATAGGAATTATAAATAATCTATAAATAATTTACAATCTGTAGAAAAAGCTTAAAAGTTTAAAAAATTACAAAAAGCCCCTAAAATTCATAATTTATAAAAAAAACTATGAGAATTTCTAACCTATGAACACAAAAATGAATATACGAAATTACTAACAACCCCTAGAAAACTAAAATTTGACAAAAAATATCATACTCACTTTAAAAGTATAGATTTAGGAAAAACCTTTCATGGTCAAAATTATCCATAACTTTTTTAAAAAGAACATAAATGATTTAAAATCTATTAAAATTTAAATTTACAGAAAAAACACCCTCAAAGTTTAGCACATTGTAAATTACCTCTCAAAATTTTAAAAATTTTTAATAATTTTTTATAAGTTCTTTATTTCAATGTAATGTTTAATAGTTTTGTGTATTTGTAAATTACAAATTTTTAGGGTGTTTTTTTATACTTTTTTAAAATTTTTAGGGTGTTTCTTTTGTAGCTTTCTAAATTTTTATTGTGTTTTCAGTGTAATGCATAAATAAGTCAATTAATTATAATATTAAAGAGTAAGTCATTTTTAAGATTATTAGGGTATAGTTAAGTGTACAACACATCACTGTTCCTAGATAGTGTAATTTATATATGCAAAAATTGTATATAAGATTCTTTACGAATTGAATGGTCACCCATCTTTTGAAGACTTCAAGATACTAATAAATAAAAATATTGTACTAAATTAATATGTTTATAACTCACAACTAGTAGACCAGTCTGGATTGAAAGAAACAATGATGATAAGATTATTAGACCATAGTTAAGTGCGCACATCACTATTCCTAGGCAATATATTTTATATATGTAAAATTTTTTAGATAATCTATATAGTGGTTAAAAAATTTTGATTTAATGTACTATTTTTTATAAATTATATTTAATGTGATCCACCATATAATTTTGATAGTGGTCATCATAAATTTAATATGTTTGATTGATTAACTATAAACATGTATAGACCATAGATTACTTTACTTTCTCACATGAGCTAATATTTAGTATTTAATAATTTAAATTATTATTTTTAAACTTAATATAAAGAGGAGCTCTAATAACATTTATTTATTTACCTACAGCATAATACAATCTTAATTTTTATTTTTACTAGAGATTTATTTCATAGCTAAGCGTATCAAATTAATAACCAAAATAATAATTAATTATGCTGAAATTAGGATGATTATAGTTGGCCACTCACTATGAAGTTTTTATAAAGATATATACATTATTTTATATACCTATCTGCATTACCAATGTATAATTTACAAATTACTTCTTAATTTGACACATTGAATTACTTTTTCTTTGTAGAAATTTCTTCTTTGACTATAATGTAATGTTAACATATTTTTATGGAGCACAACTACTGACTATAAGCATAGATGTTTCCATATATATATACTTTATAATTTATTTAAAAATATCATATATAGTAATATCATTGTAAATTGTAATAATATCATTATTAGGAAAAATTTCTTCATAAATCAATATGTTTGTTACGATATATAAGTTATGCACTCGAAATTCTTGTGTCTTTTATAGAGTCAAAAAGTTTGAATACAAGCCTCTAACATGTTGCTCTCACAACAACAAAATCCACTTAACAGATGTGGATATTTCATATGAGTTATGTATCCTATATACAATATAATTCCCCTATGCAAGTGAGTTATAATTACATTTTTTATTCACATCGTTTAGGGTAAGATTTGATAGGGACATTCTATCAAAGAAAAAAAATTATATTTAGAGCACATAGCGAAATATATCATAATTTTCCTGTTCTAATTTCGTAAGAAAATAATTCTTCATACTTTCAATTTTACTTCTATGATACAGAGAATGAGCTATAAAATTGAATGAGAATATTATATAATATAAATATGAGTAAAATAATAACTAAAAGTTAATGTGAATATGAGCAAACCACAACTAAAAGTTTAATGATATATTACAAGTAAATTCATATGCAAAATTCTTTTACGAATTGAATGATCACCCATCTTTTGAAGACTTTAAGATACTAATAAATAGAGGTGATGTATTAAGTTAATGTGTTTATAACTCACAAATAGTAGATCATGTGGTCACAGTCTCGGTTGAAGGAAACAATGACTATTTTATTTAAGAGAGAGATTATTGAGTTGATGATCAATCCAAAAAAAAACTTTTTTTTTAATTTTTACTCTATTGTTATCAATTTAAATAATCATAATATTCAACCACGTGCATTGCACGTGTATCTCTACTAGTCTATACAAATGGGCTACACAAATGTTATTTAATTTCCCGAAAGACCGAAGGAATCTGTTATGTTATTTTCTTTTTCAAGTGATATCCAATGTTGCATATTATTTTTGTTTACGACCTTATGTTATTTAACATTTTTATAAAATGTTTTCAAGACCTTCTCTTTAATCTAATATATTCATCGTCTTAAATCCCTCCTTTATATGCAATTATATGTAAAATTTAAGATGATGGTAAAAGTATTTAAATGACTGGATAGGTTAGTAGGTTGGATTGGTGGTTACAGTCAGATTTTCTTTGTTTTTACCTGAATTTCGGAAGGCTTGAAAGCTCTGAAGCTGCGGACTGGAGGGTGATGACATAGGTCCGCTCCCCTCCGTCCACATCTCCTTTGCTTCCCCGCTCTCCATTTTGTTAATTCAGGTATACTTTTGTATATCTTTTGTATACTTTTGTACATTCTAGTTGATATATACAGTTTTTATGAACAGGGAAACTCGCACTGTTTCTTGCTTCAAAAAAAAAAAGTATTTAAATGACTCGCTGTTATCAACTTATAGAAAACTCATGAACATGTGTCAATAGCATCCCCTGCAAATAGATTTTGATCTACTTGTACTACTTAGAAAAAGTAGATTTTAAAAGGGTATTGTAATTTGATAGTTAATTAGGAGTGCCAGTACTCATTTGGATGCGCAAATTTCATAATACTTGTGTTCTATTAAACAGTTTGACAAAAATATCTTCTTAATTGTTTGTTCGGGAGAGCTATCCAAATTGGTCTTTTCATCCATGTAATTTGATAGTTAATTTTTCAGCGCTTCTTGTTTCTAGCAAATTATCTTCCAAGCTTTTTAAATTACAAAAACACCCTACAAATTTAAAATTTTATAAAAATATCTTAAAAATTATAAATTTACTTATTTTAATTTAGTGAGAAATATAAAAAATATATGCTAGCTAGAAACATAAAGTTTTTTGACTTTGGAGAAAATATCTTGTAAGTTTTAAAAATTATAAAAACACCTAAAAATTAAAAATTTATAGAAAACACAATGGAAATTTAAAACTTATAAACACACTAAAAACCTACAAATAACACAAACGACTCCTAAAATTTTATAGAATTTGCAATACACACTTTGAACTTCTTATAAATTAAAAAATAAAATCCTTAAAATTATAAAACTTATAAAAATCCTGATAATTTCCAATCTAACAGTACATTAAAAATATAGGAATTATAAATACCCCTACATAATTTATATAATTTATAATAAACAATCTTTAAAGTTTCAAAAATTATAAACAAACACTTAAAATTTAAATTTTACAAAAACACCTTGAGAATTTCAAACTCATTATTAAATTGAAAACATAGGAATTATAAATTGTCTATAAATAATTTGCAATCTGTAAAAAAGACCTATAAGTTTAAAAAAATTATAAAAAACCCTAAGATTCATAATTTACAAAAAAAACCATGAGAAGTTCTAATTTATAGTAAACAATCCTTAAAGTTTCAAAAGTTATAAACAAACACTTAAAATTTAAATTTTATAAAAACACCCTAAGAAGTTCAAACTCATTATTTAATTAAAAACATAGGAATTATAAATTATCTATAAATAATTTATAATCTGTAGAAAAGACCTATAAGTTTTAAAAAATTATAAAAAGCCCTAAGATTCATAATTTACAAAAAAACAACATGAGAAGTTCTAATCTATAGGCACTAAAATGAAAATACAAAACTACTAACAACCCCTAGAAAATTAAAATTTTGCAAAAAATATCATACTCCCTCATCAGTTTAGGAAAAGCTTTTCATGGTCAATATTACCCATAATTTTTTTAGAAAAGAACATAACTAATTAAATATCAATTAAATTAAAAATTTATAAAAAATAATACCCTTAAAGTTTAGTATATTGCAAATTACACCTCCAAAGTTTAAAAATTTCAATTGATTTTAATGTAATATTTAATAGTTTTGTGTATTTGTAAATTATAAAATTTTTAGAGTTTTTTTATAATTTTTAAAACTTTAAGCATGTTTCTTTTTTAGATTTTTAAATTTTTATTGTATTTGCACTGTAATGCATAGATTACGTTAATTAATAATGATATTGAAGATTAAGTCGTTCTTAAGATGTATTAGGTCATAGTTAAATGTGCACATAACTATTTCTAGACAGTATAGTTTATATATACAAAAATTTTATACAATCTATATAGTTGTTAAAAGGATTTTGACTTTAATGTATTATTTTTTATAAATTATATTTAATGTGAACCCATAATATAATTTTGATTGTGGTCATCATAATTTTAATACATTTCATTGATTGACTGTATAGGTATATAGACCATAGATTAATTTACTTTCGTACATAAACCAATATTTAGCGCTTAATAATTTAAATTATACCTTTAAATTTAATATAAAGATAATCTCTTATAATATTTATTTACCTACAGGATAATACAATCTCAATTCTTATTTTTTTCTTGAGATTTATTCCATAATACGCGCATTAAATTAGTAATTAAATTAATCATTATTTATGTTTAAATTAGGATGATTGTAGTTGGTCACTCACTATAGAATTTTTATAAAGATATATACCTTACTTTCTATAGCTATCTACACTGCCCATGTATATTTTATAAATTAGTTATGAATTTAACATATAAATTACTTTTTCTTTATAAAATTTTCGTCTTTGACTTTTGGATTGTGTAATTACTATATCACTATCCTAGCGTAGGAAGGACCTCACTCTAAATGGCTTCAAGCCAATATTTGAGTTGACCTAAAATATATACGATTGTCACTATGTGTATATATTTTTAAAGAATCATGTCAACACTTTTTTAACAGAAAGGATATTCTAACCTCTGATATTATAAAAAGTAAATATAGCTAATTGAGTGATTAACAAAAGAGAACTTATATCAGAAAAGCATGACTATAAGGCAAAAAGGATAGGTAATGGTATTGCCAACAATACTGCCAATAACAAACTATAATGTAAAAGTTAACGTATTTTGTGGAGCCAAACTACTTGCTATAAGCATCGAGTTTTTCATATTTATACTTTATAATTTATTTAAAAAGGTCATATAATCTTATATAATAAAATTAATTTAATATTAAACAGTAATATCGTTATAATAATATCGTTATTAGGGAAAAATTTTCATGAACTAGCATGTTCTTTTCGTTATATAAACTATACACTCCAAATTATTGTGCCTTTTATAAAGTCAAAAAATTTGAATACGAGCATCTAACATTTTGCTCTCATAACAACAAAATCTACTTAGCAGATGTTGGTATTTTAGATAAGTTATATGACTCATATACAATACAATTACCTAGGCAAGTGAGTTATAATAGCATTTTTAATTCACATCGTTTGGGCTAAGATTTGATAAGGATCTTCCATCAAATAAAAAATTATATTTAGAGCACATGGCGAAATATATCATAATCTCGCTGCTTTAATTTCGTAAGAAAATAATTCTTCGTACTTTTAGTTTTACTTCTATGATACGGAGAATGAGCTATAAAATTGAATGAGAATATTAGATAATGTAAATATAAGTGAAGTCATAACTAAAAGTTAATGTGAATATGAGTCAAACCACAAGTAAAAGTTTAATGGACATATTGTAAGTAAATTCATGTGCAAAATTCCTTCGCGAATTACATGATTACCCAGCTTTTGAAGATTTCAAGATACTAATAAATAGAGATGTTGTACTATATCAATGTGTTTATAACTTACAAGTAGTAGATCACGTGGCCACAGTTTGGGTTGAAGGAAACAATGACAATATTTTATTTGATAGAGAGATTATTGAGTTGATGACCAATCCCCCAAAAAAACTTTATTTTTTTACTTTAGTCTATTTTTATCAATTTAAATTATCATGAAATTCAACCACGTGCATTGCACGTATATTTCAACTAGTTTAGTTAAAGAGTTTAAGTTTAAAATTGACACATGACTCTTAAATTTGTCAAATTAGTATAACACACTGTTAATGAGTCAAAAATAATATCATGTAGTGATAATACAAATTACAAGCGATAAACCTCTAAATGAAGATGATCAAACAAAATGAATCTACATCTGATTAAATTCCATTTGTTTATGCACTGAATACAAACGAAAATATTCATTTATTTTTAAATAAAACTATGAAATCAAATATAACTGGACATTATGGTGAACAAAATAACGAACTATTCAACAATTATCCAGTTCATTCTCACTCCCTATTCCTAACTAGTGCATCTAGCAACCTTTGTTGTAAATTTCCTATTCATCTCAATCATTCAACACACGCAGTAAGATGGTTGAGAGGTTCTGATATGACTCCTTTGGTCTTGGGTTTGATTCCGACTGCATTATTAAAATAAAATTTCAGTTGATCCTTTCCCTTATTATATGTTGTCAAATTCCATATATTTCATGTATATTCTCAAAAAAAATTTAAATTTCTAGAACATAGTTCCCTACTTATCACGAGTGAACTTTATGTTGTACACAAATAGTTATTTCCAAATAGAATATATGTTTTAAACTAATAAGACAAATACTTATTCCAATTAAAAGAGAAAAATACAAGGAAATGATAAATGTTGTACACAAATACTTATTTTCAATAAGGGGGTGTTTGTTTCACTTTTTTTATAGAATAGGAATAAAAATTGGATCAGATAGGGGTAAAACTATAAATAAAGGATTGTAATTATATCCTATTTCTAAGTTTGGTTCGTAACATTTTTATAAAATTGGATGTTTATAAAGTTGGAAAAGAAGGGGGTTTTTATAGAAACCCAAATTAGATGGGTTTGGATGGATTTGGGTTGAAAAGCTGACAACACCCCCTACTATTCTCATTCCCTTTCTTTTTTGGAATTCGCCGCACTACAAACCAAAGACAAAAAAAAAGGAATCCACAACATTCAATAACAACAAAAAATTATCCTTAAATTTTTATAGATTAGATAGGAATCCATAAAAAACATCCGCAGGATAAGAAAATGATATACGTTGTACCTCAAGATCTATGTGAAGGTCAAAAAGGGTTTTCCCTGATCTCTTCCTCTGCTGTTAGCCTTGCAACTCGGCCACCTTCCATTATTTTGTCTTTTGAAACTTCCCATTTTTAATCTGCTTATTTATTGGCTGCGGGGACCATCATCTAAACTACCAGTGGGGTTGTAAATTTGTCGGGTCGGGTCAATGTTAACCTGACATAAGCTTGATCCGAACCTGACATGTTTCTGCCGTCTCTGAAGGCAGTGCTCTGTTCTCCCCACCGTTGAATCTTTCTATCATAAATCTTATATTTTGCAATATGATAATAACTCCGATTCCCTGCAAGTCCAAAGTCTGATCCTCAATGAGCGCATCAAGAAGGGCTGTGCACTGTTGGAGTTAAAGGGTTCAGGCTCCATAAATTTGAGTCCTATTTTCAAAGTCCTCAACATGTTTGTAGAAATGCCTTTGTCAACAGAAAATAGCAAAAAGCATGAAACCTCTCATCTTTGTTCATTCTGTTGTAGCTTGATTCAGGCTCATAAATCGGGTAAGGTACTCTTAAATGTGATTCACTGGTTTTGAGTATAATGCACAGCATCTCAGGTACTTGTGTTACATAATATATTGGTAGTTTAGGCATAAACTAATCAAATTCTCTGTCTATGGTGAAGCTAAGTGAGTTTCCTTTTCACACAATTTCACTTTTCTTTGTTTATATAGATGCAAAACAAGATTGACAGGAAAAACTGACTCTTATCATGTGATAACAACCAGCAAAAATGACAGTTTCTTAGATGCTACTGTTGTTGTAAATGTTGTCCTTGTATCTTTATACTTGATACCATATTGACACTAAAATTGCAATAAGCTAATAGGTCGCAAGTTGTTTTTTCATAAGCAATAAGTCTAAGTTCTGGTTCAGGCATTTATTCTCAAACATAGATTAATATTGAATTTTTTTTATAGCTGATTAGATTATTAGTGGGAGAAATATATGAACTATGAAGTAGAGAGGGATGAAAAAAACCTGGGTTTCATATGTTACAGCATTATATTGGTATAAGTGTTGTCTTGTCTCAATTGTTGATACTGATAAAATCTCAAAGTTAAAAGGTTTTTTTTTTTATAATCGTCCAATGTTTATACTTAACTGTTAACCAAAGTTGGAGTATGTTGGGGACAAGCTTTACTGAAAGTTTCTCATGTTTGACACTGAAGTGGCCAGGGTTTCAATAATATTAGTTTTCAGTTTGTAGAATAAGCTTGTATCCATTAATGTGTGCTCATGTTTGTGGTTATTTGGCGTGTTTTTAAGAACAGAATTATGTTTATAAAGAAGAGATTGGCTTCCTTGTGCATAATTTCTCTTAAAACCTAAAAATGCTGTTGAAAGTTATGCTTTCTTGGAGCGAAAATTTATTGATTAGCAAGGAGAGTCTTGATGCACTTAGTTAACAGAAAATTCTTATTGATATCTTCTTATACCATTCAGTTCTCCTGAAGTTGATTGATCATTTTTTTCATTCTAGTTGCTTAGTGGTAAATTAGCTTTTATCTCGCTGAAATAGTTTATGTTATGATTACTGGCCCAAGAGAAGGCTCCTAGTTGAGAAGAAGATATAATTGGAACGGACTGAGGTCAACTGGATTGAAGAATTTTTGCTAGGGTGGAGGATATAAAAATTTAATAACGTAGGCTGTGTCCAAATTTCAAGGAGAGACTAAATGCGCTCTCGTATTTCATTTTATGTAGAAGTCTACTGATCATTCCAAGCCTGTGGTCCTTAGATTGCGTAAACTGTCTTCTATATTCTTGAAACTAATATTGAAGCAGAGGCACCGTTGTTTTTGCTATGAAACCAACTCCTTTTCCATGCTGCTTCATTTTGAATTACTGGTTCTGGTACTTTAACGCAGAGCTGGTACCAAGAAGTTTCCAAGTTGAAGGCAAAATTTGAGTCCCTGCAGCGTTCCCAAAGGTTATCTTTCTGGGCCTGCCATTTCTCTTGCTGTTTCTTTAGATAATTTCCCTTACATAATTTTTTTCTGGAATGTACTAACCTTTTATTTGTATGAAGACATTTACTTGGAGAGGACCTTGGTCCATTGAGTGTGAAAGAATTGCAACAGCTGGAACGACAACTGGAATCTGCTCTGTCACAAGCTCGGCAAAGAAAGGCGAGTAAAATTGCCCATCTTATTTGATACCTTAGTTGGTTCAGCTCTTTTCTCAGGAGAAGTTTTCTGTTTAATTTTTACTTTGGAACTGAAATGTTTAGAAGTTTTTTGCTGTTTGGATCTTGAACCAAATTGCCTTTTTCATAATACTATACATATGGAAAATGACTTCAAAATAACAGCCTGTGAGTGTTTTTGGCATGAAACAAGTAGGTAAAAAGTTTAGCAAAACCCAGGAAATAGTTATTTGTTTATTTAATTTGTATTTAAATCTTATGGCTCTGGATCTGGTCCATAGCTAATGAAAATAATTATGGTAAATTTAACTAGACTCCTAACAAGTTTGGGTTTTTCAGAAAACCCCTAAACTATGTTGATGTTTTTCACTTAACCCCCAATAACTACTTTATGGTGTTTATGTTATATTCGTTGTTTCAAAACTCGACATATGGGCTTACGTTTATGGAGGTTAAGTGGAAAAAAAATTTATGTTTTGAAAGTTTTCAAAATCATGTTTTGGAAGTTTTCTAGAATTTTCAAACTTATTGAGGGTTTAATGAGAGTTTCAAAGTTTTGGGATATACTGCTGAAGGTCTAAACTTATCAGGGTCTAGTGAAATTTACCCAAAAAATTAATATTCAAGATGTGAAACAAGTAAAAGCAAAATAACTTTTAATTGAATAATGTTTTTGCTCAAGTTTCAGTAGTAGCCAGTTTCTGTGCAAAAAACATTAAAAAAAAGTGTTCTTACACCATGCTTTCATCCTCTGTGATTAATTAATAAACCATGACTACATTAAGGTAAATCCCAAGTGGTAATAAAGAAAATAAATTGTAATGTTCACAAAATGAAAATCATTTACGCAGGGATTGGGCGAGATAATTATCTTTACAGGTGAAGTTTGCATGTTTTTCTTCTTGGTTATTAACTCTTGTATAAACTTCCATCAAAAGTTGCTCATGACTGTGATAGAAAGCCTTATTTGTGGTGATTAATTAATATCAAGACTTAGTCATTTTTCTTAATACAATTGAGATTTTAAGTGTTCTTTTATTCTGTTTAAATTGCTATTATAGGATGGAAGTAAGGGTTATGTTTATTTCATTAATAAATACGACGACAGACGAAAAGTTTTTATTGAAATACTCTGCAGTGAAGCATCAGAACAGATATACTTGTTTACACTAGTGAACTACACACGCACAGTAGGACACGTAGCTTAAAACGAATGCTTTTAGGGCCTGTTTTGAAAATCTTGGTTCCCTTTTGAGAATAATCTTGCTTGGGAAAAAAGGGGCCAACAGGTACCCAGTTTTCCCTAGGCCAAAAAGACCCCTAATATTAGTCATGTTGATCCAGCTCCCTCCTAGCCAAAGCAGAACTGGTTTATCTCAAAACGGGGGGCACAAGAAATTATTTCCCAGTTTTTACAAGTCTCGCTCTGAATCAAACAGAACTGATGTATTTCAAAACTGGGTTAGGACAAATCCTCACCCAATGCTGAGGAGCTTGTCAAACTGACCTTTATAATCTATATGCTTTTATTATTAAGCCCAAAACATTGGATCTCAATAAACAATCCATACATAACATAACCTTATTCTGTTACTCAGTAAAATTCGACTTAGGCAATTTGACTGTAGTTACTAACAAAAGTTAGATGTTATCATTCTAGCGGTTTTGGAATATGTGATCAGTGAAAGATGAATCCGGACCCTATTGGAATGGTTATCTGCTTATTCCAAACAATGTTGTTATTGTCTGTTATCAAGAGAAGATATGGTACATACGAGTATGAAGATGCTAACCATATTGGGGACAACAATAATTTAGGGATCAAATGGAAAATTTATAACATCTAGACTAAGATTCTAGCCTTCCTGTGCAAAGTTCCCTCAGCAAGTTCATACTTCGGTCATTGACTAGCATCCGGCTGACAACTTTATTATAACTATCAATTGTGCTGATAAACCAGCTATGTAGCAGCAGAACCACAAATTTGTGGGTTCTGGAAGATGATGTTGATTATTGGTTAGTCAACTACCTACGTATTTTTTATATTTGTCCTACATTAGGGATACAGCTCGCAGAGATCAGTTCGGCCATCAATAGGGAAGGCATATGAATAGTGAAAATTCATAGGAATTTGAGTTAGGTTGCTATGAGATTAGCTAGGATCAATGGGCCAAAAGGTCAATGATGAGAAATGAGTTAAGTGAGTATTACTTTGAACGTTCACGAATCATTCATAGACATTGCAAACAAACGGTTTCGAAATCAACCTCCCAACGGTTTTCTTATTGAGATTTGCCTCAAGTAGCTTAACAAGTTTAGCATGGTATTTCCAGTGTCAGTCGTGTCTTCGTTGATGTTCAAGATAACACAGCAAGCAGTTGATTGTGGAGGACTTCCTGACCAGACAGTCTTCGATCTTAGATAATTTTCTCAATCACATAGTATTATGAGTGACTTCATACTGAAATGACTACATGATAATGTGCATGACCATTGTGTAAAACTAAAAGACTCAATGGAGAACAAAGTTATTCCTGAAAAATTGCATGTATCTTGATCTTACATATCCAGTATGTAGTCAATGTTTATACTCAGCAAAACATAGGAGTGGCAATTTATGACCCGACTAAAGCCGACCCGTTACAAATGAGTATGAGCCACTTTATATAGTTCGGGTCATAAACGGGTTGACCCTATGGACCCGTTTATTAATCGGGTCGCAAACGGGTCAACCCGCTGACCCGTTTAACTTTAACTCATTTATCATTCAACCCTTAACATTTAAAATTTATAAAAACACATCCATAAAATATCAATACTTATGAAAACTATAAAATTCATAAATTACATATCACACTTTGAAAATTTTACAATTTGCAGAAAACACCCTGAGAGGTTTGAAAAACATCCTAAAATTTTTTAAAAATTGAAAATACACCCTCAAACAGTTAAATTTATGAAAACACAGCCCAGAAATATCAAAATCTACAAACAGTACAAAATCTAAAACTTATAAATAACACCATGACAATTTTGAAATTTGCAGAAAACAACGCGATAATTTCAAAAGTTACGAAAAACACCCAAGTAAGTCAAATTTTACAAAAACACACCCCTAAAAAAATCAAAATCTATAAATAACTACACAATCTATAACTTATAAATAGCGCTATGAAAATTTTGAAATTTGCCAGAAACACCCTAATATTTTCAAAAGTTGCAAAAAACACCAAAAATAAGTCAAAATTTTAAAAAATTTAATAATTCAAACTTATGAACAGTGAAAATTTATAATATATATATATTACAAAAACCCCTATATGTTTTGAACAGTGAAATTTTTGAGTTTTGCAAAAACACCCCATATGTTTAAAGTCAAACTTTTAGAGAAACATACCCCAAAAATTTCAGAACGTAAAAAAAGTACAAAATCTATAAGTTATAAGCAGCTCCATGAAATTTTTAAATTTGCAAAAAACACCCTAAAAGTTTAGAAAATTGCAAAATACACCCTCAAAAAGTCAAACTATTATAGAAACACGCACTGCAAACAAAAAAAATTATGAACAGTATAAACTCTATAAATTATAAATAACAGGGTGAAAACTTTGAAATTTGCAGAAAACACCTTAATGGTTTCAAAATTGCAAAATATGCCCTAAAAAAAGTCAAATTTTACAGAAAGGCAGCACCTAAATATCAAAACTTATAAATAGTGCAAAACCTATAACTTACAAACAACAAAATTTTGAAATTTGCATCAAACATCCTAAAAGTTTAAAAATTGCAAATGCACCATCGAAAGTCAAATATTACAGAAACATATGCCAAAAAATATGAAAACTTACAAACAGTACAAAATTTATAGCTTATAAAAAGCAATGTGAGACTTTTGGTATTTGCAAGAAACGCCCTTAAATTTTTAAGAATTACAAAAAGGACCCTGAAAATTCAAAATTAAAAAATAATTGAAAAGTCAAAACTAACAAAGGGTATAAAGTTTATAATTGAGAAAAAGTCCACTGAGAAAATAATATTTGCAGAAAACACCCTAAAACTTTTAAATTTTACAAAAAACATCCTCAAAATTCAAATTTTACAAAAAAACCCTGAAAACATCTATACTTTTAAACAGTAACAAAACCTATGAATGGTAAATACGATCACTGTTTTAAATATCGGCCGATAACCGATATTATCGGCCGAGTTATCGGATTTGGGAGCTCTCCGATAGGATAACTTGGATTTTTAATCGGTTATCGTTTTTGGCAAGTTATCGGGGAGTTATCGGCGTTATCGGTACTTATCGGCCGATAAGTAAGGTTTTTTTATCGGGATTATCGGCCGATAAGTAAGGCTATGCAATCGAATGGTTTCATCGTGCGGTCAAGATGCAAGTTTTGCTTTCTACAATTGGTTAGTGATTCTAAACATGATGATTTACATTTTGGTATGTTTATATTTCATTAAGCATGGTTAGATTACATTTTTTAGTTATTATATTATATATATACACCATCTAGTATATCACTCCGATAAATACTACTTATCCCCGATATATCCCCGATTTCCGCTATCCGATAAGAATTTTGGTCGTCCGATAAATTCCCGATAACCGATATTTAAAACCTTGAATACGATTATAAAAACTTTGATCATGGACTCTATATTAAGTACATGAAAATTATAAAACAATCAAATGGGTCACTTGGGTCGGTGGGTAACCCGTTTAATAAACATGTTGACCCGATTAGGTGATGGGTCGGGTCGGGTGAATATTATATTGGTCGGGTCAAAATTTATGTGGGTTGGATCGGGTTGGGTCGACCCATTTGCCACCCATAGAAAAACATGACTTAGCATTTACATCTCTGATTTTTATACCATTTTTGTTCCTGTTGTTGCTCTTGCATTACTCTCTTCATTAGAATTTTTTCGAAATAGAGTCATTTGTAGTTTTGTTTGTTTTGCTTATTCTTTTGTAACTATTTCCCGAGGAAGGATGAATCTGTGTTGTCATGCATTTTCATGTATTTCGACTCAGTCAATTTTGAGAATTCTTCAGGTTTATGTAAAGCTTGAAATTAAACAGATCTGTTGTTTTCATGAGCAGACACAGATAATGCTGGACCAGATGGAAGAACTCCGGAAGAAGGTAGGTCACATTATACTATTTATACTGAAGAAACTCTGTTTTCTTGGTAATAATTTTAGTTATACGAACTACATCTGCATAACAAGAGAGTAGATTTTACCTAGACAATACCTGTAATTAGAGTGAACTTCATGTATAGCTGTTCACCATTCTCACTGCTATTGGTTTGAAGTTCTAATTTCTGCGGCATGCCATATTGATTTTTGTCAGCTATATTGTTGATCAGCATTTGAACTAGGTCTTCAACTAGTGTTGTAAATTTGTTGACTGTAAGTCATTAACATTAATGAAATAAGTCAGGAAGAACTCAGAGCTGTAGAAATACATAACTACTCTTATTTTATTGCTCCACAAGCATACCCAAGTTTTTATTAATTATCAGGAACAACTTAGGTCGTCTTTCCAAATTTCTATGTTGCTTAAGCTCTCAAATATTGCTTGTTCCGTGTACGGGTCAAGTCTCAGAAAGCATCCTAGATATAATCTGCAAATACAAACTGAATGTTTGAAAGGCTAGGCATGTTTCATGATGCATAGAATGGCCATTAAGGGGAGAAAAAAAGTGGCAGTCTGAAAGGGAAAAAATTCAAGAAGCATTGTAAATAGAGGGATGGGTTTGGAGTGAGTCTTCTGTATCAATGTTTGGATCAATGCAGTTATTCGCATGTCACAGAACTTATGGGCTAATAGAAGATTTTATAGATTCAGTGCCAACAAGAAAATTACTAATAATTCAATTAGAATTTTAGCCGTATTTCTTTTAGTGGTGTGCTCTCTAGAACTGATTCGTATTAATTTGTCATCCTTCCTTGACACCTGAGTGATTATGTCTCATGCTTTCAAACTTAAGAAAAAAAAAGAAAATCCATAGGAGGTATAGTCTGAGGTTCCTTTGATATGCTTAGCTTGAGGTTGGTTCCTAAATGACCCATTTCAACCACAAAATTGCATTTAATCTAGTGCATGATATGGATCTTTTTTGCAAATAATCCCATGCATTAGATCCAATGCAGACTTTGCGATGTAAAGGACGCAATTATAGAATTATCTAGGCCATTGTCTACAATGAAACTCTCAGATAACTCTATCTCATATGTATGTGCGGGTTGTCTTTGGTTGAAAATTTCAGCTGTAGTTTATAAAATATTTAGTGCAGCTAAAGGCAGGTAGATTCCTAGGCGCACAAGTGCACTTAATCCACTTAGATTAAGTTTATTTGAAATTGCACCCAGTATTATGCTTTGGGTGTTACGGATCATACTAAGAAAGTGAATAAATCTTGGATGAGTCAAATGTACCTGTATAGACAATAACTGGAAGATTCGTTTACAAGCTTCATAAGTCGAGTGCTCTTAATTAGAATGACGAAATTGGAAGATTATTTAAACCTGCTGCAGACAAGGTGCAAATTACGTCCGAATAAGTTTTGCATCCTTTCCTTTCAAACACGAGTAAGAAATGTGTTTGAATTTTCTGCTGATTGAACTATATTAAGAGGTACGCAGCTTAACTGTACCTGTTATTTGTTGGTATCAGGTGCACATCTAACTCTTAAAAAAAAATCAAAGGTTTTCATTGCACTGATAACTGTAGGGAAGAATTCAGTGTCCAGTTCAATTATATTTATCCTCTACTTCAACAGGAATTGTAATCCCGAAAAAACAATATATCTATGGTTAAATTACATAGCATGCCTTCTAACTCACATGACATCAAAACTGCTTCTGATATATTCTCGATCAAGTTTTTTTGTTAATTTATCTTTAAGTTGTCAGATAATTGCATTTGATAGGTTTCTATGAACCAAAATTCAAATGTAATAAATTTCTTTTTTCAGGATCATGTAAAACAGGGTCAAACTAGCTTGCTACTATGAGAAATGTGCTAGTCAGTTATAAATCAAAGTTAGGTGTCACAAGGGTCTCTGCCTTTAGGCCTGCAAATAAGATTATACTAGAATCCTCTAACTTGTACTCAACGGACTGTGCTCATGTTTTTTTTATGTAATGATGCCAGGAGCGTCATCTTGGAGAAATCAATAAGCAGCTTAAAGCTAAGGTATTGGGTTCATTCTTGATGGCCTTTTCTTTCTTTCTCTTTTCCCCCATGAAGGAATGCCTGCTCCCAATCTTATGTCTATTCTTTTTGTTCTCCAACTATAGATTGATTGCTTCACAAATTTGCACCACTGCATCAATAATTATATTGCACTAACTATTTATCATAATTTCTCAGCTCGAAGCTGAAGGTGCAAGTTTTAGAGCCATTCAAGGTTCATGGGAATCTGAAGCAGGAATTGGCGGAAATGCATTTTCTATGCATCCTTCTCAATCCAGTGCCATGGACTGTGAACCCACTCTCCAGATTGGGTAATTTTTTTTCTGCCTTTTCATTCATTTTCCTCCTGCTCCCGGATCTGTTATTCTGTATTTTTATTCTTTAAATCCATATCCTTAACATATTTATCAATTAATAGAAACATAATTTCCTGGAAAATTTAACTAGCGAAGTTCATATTTAGGTATCACCATCTTGTTCAACCTGAAGCTGCTCTCCCAAGGAGCTCTGGCGGAGAGAACAATTTCATGCTTGGTTGGGTTCTTTAGAATGGTTTTACTCATCAAATAAAAGACTTAAATATGTCTAATATATGTAAGTTTAATCAGTATTTCCTTATGTTTGGATTTGGTATCTGGTTGCTAAGGTAAACTTGGCTTGTGTTTTTGGGTCTTATGTTAATTTGGTGTGAAACTTAACTTGATGTAATTAGGCCATGCAAATATAAAAACTCTTGCAAGTGCCAAGATTCTTAGTGTTTTATATCTTTCTGGTGGTAACTTTGCATTTGTTAAGTTTCACAAATATGGAATTGCTTCCAACGACCTGAAGTTTAGATTCTTCAATCGTCTATTTGTTTTTAATTGAAATTTTTGAAGTTTAGAATGTCAGTTGTTAAGTTATCTGTGTATATTTAGTTACTACTATTATTATCCGATATTTGAAATATGTGTTTTATGTTATTTATATTTCCTCTGTTGTGGTAATTTGTATAGTTATCAAACCAACTCAGGTCCGTTAATGTTTATATACATCCATGTATCTTTTTATTTATAGGTCCAACTTCTTGCAGCTATCAATAATCTAGAAGTATGTATTGAAAATTTAGGATAGGAAAAGCTAGCTTCTGATGCCTGTGCAAGCGTCTAATGCCCCCCAAACGCCTCAACAAAGAGGTTCTGAGATTTCCGTAGACGACGAAGCTGTGATGCATCCGTATCTCTTCCTTATGGCTCTGTACAGGGACACTAGATTCCTCAAATTAAATCAACATCGTTTATTGTTTTATGGATGATTCTGATGTACCCATTAAGAAGAGGTGATCTACTGTTAACTTTATTATGAAAGGGTCACAAGCATCAATCATCATAGTAATGGAAGAACTTAAAAAAAAAAAAAGATAAAAAAATTGTAGATAAGCAGAACACGGTTTGTTTTTCCAGACCACGTACATCTTCCTTAAAGGCGGATATATTTATTGCTCGTCTGCCACGACTGCCTCATTAGAAGAGAGCATGGATCTACACAAGGGGCAGGTTATTTTCCCCTCATCGAGCCAAGAATCAAGGCAATCCCTGTGAAAAGCATGGCAGCAATATTCGAGCTCTCTAACCTCATCACTCCATTCTAAAGAGCTCATACAAATGGAACATGCACCATCGATGCTTCCCTCGCCTACCCCCTTTCTCTTCAAGTAGCTTGCGTATCCAACAACAGGGAGCCTCTCTCTGGTTTCCATCGCGTACCGAATCTCGTCTTCAGAAGCCTTGGGCTGGTGGGAGGGAGCGAAGAGCAGTCTCAGGTGGCGAGCTAAGACGAAGGTTGCGTATCTGATTAGTCCTACGATCTCAAGGAGA